ATAGAGGACGGTATCGCTGCATATACCATAGTTACGCTTAAAATAGAAAATATATGTTGGAAAATCTCATTTAAGGAAACATTATTGTAAACGAAATTCATAACCAATAAGTTCTACAGAATTTATCTGACTAGAACGCCGTAATGAAATAATTGAAAAAAAATGAACTGATTCTCGCGATGCGTCTTCTTCAATATATTTACGGTAAACATAAACATATGATTGAAACATACAATTTACTTTGTTATTGCTACTACGTAGATCTGCAATAATTTCATTACATGACTAAACGGTCCCAAAATGTATGCTTTGGTTATTATATTATTATAAATTATATATTATTAAATAAATTATCTCTACTTGTATTGGAGATAAATAGTGTGGACTTATCTTTAATTTACCTTCATCTTGTGCATTTATTGGGTTTTCTGTACTCAAAGATCCTTCACTGTATCTCGCATTCCAGAGATAAATAGGGGCGCAATCGAGTAGACAACGAAAAAGAAAAAGAACTGTCGGACTCGACCATCCCGAAGAAACAACTACTCACTAGTCTTTTCAAGTTAAACGTGTACTATTAGTGAAGAGACGTACATTAAAGATGTGAAACAGTGCATCTTAGGTGAATCCTCTATTATGCTTCAGTCATTATAGTCATTTAATGAATTTTACAAATATCTAATCCTTATTACATGGAAAAGTATAATTTTCAATTTCATTGTTAAATAGTTCATATTCGAGAAAACATCTATGCGAAAGCATCTAAATGACTATGATCAAATTTACGTAATCATTATTAACAAGAAAAAAAATCCTTATGTGTCACTTGGGCTTCTTTGTATAATTGTAACGAATTTTCTCTCGAGTGTAGGTCAATTCCAGGGAATTCCATTAGATCCACCATGATGATGCCCACCATAAACTCAACTAATTTTGAATTTACGTGCTTTATGGAAATTTCGAGGGGATGTTCTGGTAGTTCAAAAAGAGCCGTTAACTTCGAGCTGGAATACGTGCATCTCCTTGTGATTGCTGAACTCGTACAAAACAGCCGATTTAAAATACAATGAGACTCAAGTGCAAATAAATCTTCAAGTTACAAACTTGTTATAAAAAGTAAGAAGTTTTGTGGCTTGTTAAAGGAATAATAATCTAGATAAAATGCACCCTTAAAATATATGTATTCAACACTTATCTATTTAATTAATTAATCCTAATAATTTAATTTTTAAAATTTTTTAATCTATTAATTCGTATAAAACACGTATACATTTTATGTACACATCACGTGTCTCTTATGATTAAATGTTATTTTAGTATTTATTACAAACAGAAAATTTAAATAATTGAAATAATTCAAAAATATAAAATATAATATAAACAAAAATGTTATATACAAAATTAAATTTTTATAATATACATTAGAAAATAAGTAAATATATCTGAAAGTATATTAAATAACATTTAATTTAAAAAGAAATTTAAATACTTAATTTATTTAACAAATAATATATAATTTAATATACATTTAAATATAATAATATAAATTTAAATTTAATACAGGCACGTGTATGCACACACACAAGCGCACACACAGACACACACACAAATATCTGATTTAAATTATTATATTACTAATTTAATATATTAATAAATTTCTACTAAAATTGGAATAAAATATATATATTAAGTAGTTTAATTTCATAATACTTCTATTTTGATTTTATACATTTAATTATTATCATATAGATATAAAATTCATATTAGCAAATGGATAAAATATATTCGTTATAAGTTCAATACATATTCACAATTCATATATTTATTTTGAATTCTAATATTTTCAATAATATTCTAATAATTTTCAAAACACTTAAATATATAATTATAATATTCATCTAGATATAATAAAAAAGTTATGAATATGAATGACAATATATAAAAAAATTTTTCTCCGAAATCTAAAGAATTACCAGCTCAAAACCAATTCATTTCAACTCTATTATTTTTTTCAATAACCACGCATATCAACACTATTCTCGCGTCAGGATGCAGACAATTCTAACTCCATTTTCTATCAGAATTCTCATTCAAACTGTAAAATTGAAACAATAATGAGAGCAGAGTTAGAATTGTAGTAATACCGAATAACAACTTTTGTCTACTTCTTGTTAAGTGTGAATTTTACACGCTAGCAATAAATCATATGAATATTAATGCATATTATGAATAGCGAGCCATCGAAAGTTTATAATTTGGAAAAAGTCGAGTAAGGGATTGTAACATTAAATTTGCTTAGTAAAAAAGGTAACTAAATAAAAGAAATTTAAAAATTGTAAAATTTATGTAATTTGAAAGAAAATAATTTGTATGTAAATAAAAGTTATGTATTTGAATGTATATATTATACATAAATAAATTTTACTAATATATCCTTAGAAGCTTTATTCAAATGAATAGATAAGTAATCAAATTTAAAATCCCGCACTAATTTACAATGATATTATCTAAATTATATTGGTTCGATTATATTAACTAAAGGCTAAATAAAAATAAAATTTCAAAATTTCTACGAAAAGCGATAATTACAAAAATTTTCTCAATATTACATGTAAATAGTATAACTAAAATAGCTAATTTTAACAATGTATATTGATATTTTAATAAATCTTTAAAAAAATTGCGTTGATGTTCCTATTTTACTACGCTATCAGACTTTACCTAGTGGCAAACTTCCGCGTGCACTTCCTTTATAGCTTAATGGTGCATACCAAATCGTCTAGTTCATCTGCAGAAGTGACGGTGAAAAAAATATAAAAAAAAAAAAAAAAAAAAATAGAAAAATAAACAGAAGATAAAAAATTGGAACACTTGAATAAGTTAAATTCCGTTTATTATATGAAAATTATAAAATTAAAAAAAAAACTAATCAAAAAACGCGTGAAGCACAAACATGAAAGAAAGAAGCAAATAAATTTACCGCTTAACTTATCGCTTCTCTTTCAATCTCTTTTCCGTACGCGTACGCACGTTTGTGCTGGCATATACAGTAATGCATATTCTCTTAAATCGATCTCTTCCAGATCGATAAGCTTGTTATCTATAGAAATCTGCCTTTTTGACAGCTTATGTATTATATACTAACGCCTATCAAGAGTTAATTTTTCTTTTTCTCCGTAGCTCACCTTTTTGCGTTCGTGAGATTAAATATCATCCAGTCATTTTTAGAATGACATGCTTCTTTTATGGTTGCGGTTTCTATCTATTCGGTAGTATAATTTCCTGAATGAATTGTACGTTATGATACAATACATGTTGTTAATATTAATTATATCTGGTAATCGGTTAAATTTAAACGCGGAATTTGGTATAATATGGAACTCTCTTGGTTTAAAATTCAAGACTTCAAGGTGAAGTTCAAATCTGAAGATAAAAGTAATAATAAAACGTAGAGCAGTTAGTATGTTCAGATATATTTCTTCAAGGCCTCTCCAGTCACCACTTTACGATAGTTCCGTTCTTAAATGATGTTCAGGAAGATTTATCAGTTTTCCGGGTAGACCACGTGACTTATCATACGCCCGGCGCTTACATGATTAGGTAGTTCCCATTTACGTTATATTAAACTCTCTGAGCAAAGCTATTTGTTCATCTCTCGAACTCAAGCTCTCTTTACAAAAAATATTAATTACATTTAAATGAAAGTTAATTTTATTAAGAATAAAAAATTATTCTAAACTCTATGCATTTAATGATAGCTATTTCCTAGAATATTCAAATCTTTTTTATCAAGGTAAATTTTATAATAACCAAAGCTGATTAACTTATTAATTGAGGTAATGAATATGCAACCTTGTACCACCGGAATACAGTCAATTTTAAAACAATAATACACATACACCCCCCTCCCCCCACACACACATGTATATATATTTTATTTCATATTAGATATTTATTAATCTATATACTACTAAAAATCATTGAATTTTTAATATATTAAAGCTTAATTTCACTATCAATCTTATATATACATTTCAGTTTCATTTTAGTTTTCTAAGGAAACATATTTATTAAAATCATTAGGCGAATAATAGAAAATATATCAGAAAACATGTAGGGATTGTGAATTCTAGTTGAATCAGTACTAACTTCGTATTCTTTTAAAGTCTTGTAACGCTTACTAAAATGTTGCATTTGAAGAAACTTGCTCATACGAAATTCATCATAAATAATAAGTAAGTGTTCAAAATCTGATTAATTTTATTGTACAGGCTTTATTTTATGATCTTTGAAGCAAGTTCGTTAAAGATTAACGATAAAAGAAAATTTCACCTCAAGCTGTTGCCTTTTGCAGTTTAGTGGCTTATGAAAATTGAGAATCAAATGCTGTGCAAATTTCACTTAAAAAGATATTACATTTTCAAAATTTAACTTTAACTTAATTTTATCTTTTTATTATTTACTGTTATTGTTACCTTAACTATAATAAAAACTAGACTACTCGTCTAGCTAATATTTGCTAACATGTGCAACAGACAAATCAAAATGAATAAAGAAATATAAGTGGCACAGATTCGTCAACTTTTATGAGTCCCATGAGAGCTATGAAGAACGATTCTTTTCTGTGCTATAAAATAACGTAATATTTTACGTATAACGAAAAAGTTAGCTCGTCTAACCGAATTTCTTGCAGGATTTTCTGGAAAAATAATCAGACCGTCTTGCATCAAGTGAACCGGATTCTTTACTTCTGCAAACCCAATCTTTTAATTTAATAGTTATCTAAACTTACAGCAATTATATTTTATCGTATTCATTCAAGTTATTATTAACCGCGCTAATTTCATTAATTTTCTATCGGTATAAAAAGTTCCAGATTAAATTATTATTCAATATCGACATTTTTATAAATAAAACACTTAATACTGAGGTATTTAAATAAACTGTAGACCCTGAAAATTATAATATTAATATTTCTAAATTACAAAATTTGAACTTACCCAGTTCTGGTCCACAAACTCGCGGGATAATTTCCAAGATTGCACTGCAGGATGGATGCTCAAAGCAGAGCTTTCTCGCATATAAACAATTCAATATTGCCACTGTTTTACCCGATCCTGCAAAATAACAAAAACTCAGTATTTCACCAGCTTATAGTATATTAATGCTTGAAATAGATTTTTTAATTCTGTATTGAATAAATATATTAAAAAATAATTTATTATCTTGATGTATTAAGAAATGTATCTATTATATTTTATCGTTTTATGATTCAATAAATAAATAAAAATAAAATAAATAAAAATATACTTCATATATATTATATATTAGTATATGTTCTAATTATATTGGCAAAAGTAACTCGCAGTAACGTATGGTTTTCTTAAACAAAGAAACGTTACTTTTTTAAACCGTTCTTAAACAAAGAATCCGGCAGAGATAAAATCTACATCACTAAGACATTTCAGTGTCGAGGGATTTTCAAGTTGGCACAGCTATTTTCGAATTAAATCCATTTTGCATTTCCGACTTTACGTTGAGTCACGAAACTCAATCCTGCGGATTATATTAGAAAAGGTATTTTATAAGCTATCCGAGTAAAATCTTGGAACAAGAAAAATCTGCAAGATATTGTTCAATGAGCAAACGAGCAAAACTGCCAAAATCTACGGGAATAAAAGTTTTGCCACTTCAGCGCTGTTTCTCACGTTGGCTACGAGTAGATTTCATGCTGAACAAGAGAAGGACGAATTGGACGTTCCATCGCTTTTAGTAGTGAGGACCACTGCCGATGCAAAGGGACAGTTCTGGAGATCAATTTTTCCCATCCCCCCTCGTGTCGGTGCCACGTTACCGGAAACCTCCCACTTTTCTTAGCATACCTGGCTAGATAACCTAACTAACTGCATCCATTGACTTGTGGTAATTTATATCTGCAGTAAAGTACGATTGACGATTGTATCAGAAATTGATGAAATGAAATTTATTTTCTCCTTATACTTCATGACTGCACGCGTTATTAAGATTAGACTTGTATTATGCGTTGACATCATTATTTCTCTAACCAATCTCATTAAATATATTTAATACGTGTACATAAAAATATAATCTAAATTTATACGTGCGTACACACACCCAATGCAAAATGCTATTTCATTAAGAAAAAAACTTCTAAAATCAGCCGTTGCATTAATCCAATTGGAATCAAATAAGTAAACATTACCTCGGACTACGGCTTATACGAATTTGGGCCAACTCCTCGAGAGGAATAATTGCCGGGCCATTTCATGCAACACGTGACCAAACAGACGCGTGGACACGTACAAACGATGATTGCATTGTCAATGAGGCGCTTAAATGTGGATGGCCCGATTAATGGAAGCCAGTGCGGCCAATCGGGAAGCCCTCCATCTGAATATCCTCCTACTCGAAGGACCAATGCACTTTATGGTTGAGCACTTAGGAATTCGTAATTGATTATTCGATTGTCTTTTATCGACTTTTTCAGCTGTCCTAAACGTTCAGAACCATATTTTTTAACCCTTGATATTTTTATTCGATACAGCTCTTTTAGCATTCTTGAATTCCTATTATAGCACGTGTGCAGATGTGACATTAATTTAGCATGGTTGATTTTTTTAGTGTATCTACCATAAATTCGACTGTAGAGTCATTGATTTCATATTGCGTCGTACATTTACTAGTTGGTCCTTTTCTTTTACATTTTTTATGTTTTGTCTATTATGCCTTGGAATTATTAATTTTGTTTTCTTATAAAAAGTTGTATATTAAGCAGTAGTATCATTTTATGAGCTTAATGTATTTATATATTTCGACAGTCGAAAAAAATAACTTTCCAATTGTTTTTCTCTTTATACAAAACTGAGTTTAATTTGCTTCATCTATTAACTGTCACTTTAAACGTGCTTACATTTGTTATCACAAAGCGTTTCTCCGTCTCTATTTATCTATGCCTTTAACTTTCTCGCTCTATCAGTTCTCCTTTTTCTTTTTACCTTTATCTTCAACTTTTTATGCTTGCACATTACTTTTTTACTTGGTACTTTAATCGACGCGAAACCGTCAGTCGATTGGCCTTTAAGTAACTCACCCAGAAGATTCTTTTTAAAAGTACCTTGATTTAAATCACTACTCTCTCAAAATTAGAATTATTAAAAAGAAAGAAATCCTCTTATTTATATTTTTCTATTATATCAATTATTGAAATAGTCATAATTTTATGTATTTCACTCATTATATTAGCCTTAATTTAGTAATATCTCCTGTCTAATCTCTTATTATTATTTTCTATGTAAATATATTTTAATATAATAAAATTATATAATAATATATAATAATATAATAAATAAACAATGAAATAATAATATAATCAAATGTAATGTAATATGTAATATATAAATTATAATAATTTCCACGTATATAGCATAACATTGAAACTAATATGAGAATTAATACAATTTTATAGATAGTATTTCTATCATTTTTTTTATTATTATTAAATGTATATTAAAGTCAATATACACTTAATATCTTTGAGTATCAAAATACATAATGGTAACTTTGAAGCAATAGTCGTATGTAAGCACATAAATTAAGTTATTAGAAATAGTTTTTAGAAATGTGGTATACTATTATGAATATATATGTCAAATATTTTTGTTACAAAATTTTTGTAATATTAACTTCAAAACGAAACTATAATTAATAACCTTTAATGTATATAATGCTATATCATTGTGACATAAAATCGAACACAACTAATACGAAGCTTCGACTTTTCTACAAAATACTGTTTCAATCTGTATATCAATTTCAGTTTAACATTAATCTAGTCACTTGGAATATTATATTATATTGATATAATATTTTATTAAATAAATATTTATAAAGTTTCGTAGCCAGTTAGAGTAATCATTGGTTGCATAAAATAAAATTGTACCGAAAATAAATCGTAATTAAAATATTTCAAATTAATTTATAAATAAAAATAGAAAAGTAATACTTTTTCGAAACTTCTATAGATAATCTTAAACATAGACTATAGAATTTCCGTAACTAGTAATATACGATATAGAACTTTCATGAGTACTAGTAAATATGATAAGTCAAAGTGTTGATTATAGTAATATTTAATTGTAAACTCACATCGGAATACAAGCAGTTCAATTATTGAAGATAGATAAACGGCGATTAATTTTCCGAACTCGAGCATATATCTATGGAATTTCTAGTAAAAGGTTATAGATCCAGTTAAAACATCAGATTATCAACACTGAAAGCAACAGAAAAAGAAAACAATGCGGGACATGAGCAGTTTGAATATTCGACTGCTCGGTATGGATTGACAGTGATATTTGCATATATTCTACGAGTGACTATCGATTTTCACTTTTCTACTTGTACTAAAGTGATAAGGCTATTTGTATGCCGGTCATAAAATATTCTCGATTACTTTCATCTTCACGCTTTTATGACTTCTACATATAAAGTGTGCGTTAAAAATAATTTTATATACTGCATTATTTAAAAAACAATTAATTATATGTTCACTTAAGCTTATTAATTCTTATAAAGACTATCTTATTACAATAATAATTAAAATGAAGGTTTTAGTAAAAAAAAAAAATAATTCTGATTCTAGTTACAAAACTTATTAACAGTGTGATAAATAGCGAGACAAAAATTTATCTAATGAAAGAAATACGACTATTTTGTAAAACACCGCGAAGCTGAATAACGCGTATTTAAATGAAATTGTGTCATCGCTAGACTTAGATAGTAATCACGCGACCATTAAACATAACTCGAAGCACGAGATTTTATTCGACTTAGCTTAAGAGTAAATTAATCATATTCAATTATTAAAACTATAATAATTTAGTTATGAAAAGCACTTAGCTTTCAACATTCAAATAAATCGGTCCGATAATAAAACCTTTACAACTTTGTGGGTAATTAAATTAATCGCTCAGGCTACAGTTACATCATATTTAACATAGAGCCGCAGACTAGAATCGTTATAAAAATATAACATTTTTAATTAATAAAAGCCAGATGAATAAAATTAACTTATATATTTATATAATATTCATGTACAATAATTTAAAAAAAGAAAATTTATAAACGAATTATTTTCAACGTAGTCGATTTCTAATCCGTTTTAAGAAGGTTTCATTTCATAACTAAAGTAAGTGTACTGCCTGTTACGTAAGATAATAATAAAACTAATCTAATTTTAATTCTGTAATGAAAATTAATAAAATTAAGCACATATATAGAATGACAAAATCACATTTTATTCAAGATAGCTCATTTTATAGGCAAATTTAAATTCAATACGATTAAATTATCATTAGTTACATTCTATACCTGAGCTATTCATTAATTAAATTAGGTAGTTGAGTATCGACTTAAATGAGACAGTGAAAAAAAATGTAAGAAAACGTAAAAAGTGACGAGGAGTAAAAGGGGTTAAGAAAAATGGAGGAATTAAATTGAGGATAAGAGCGAGGTCACCTGTCATGATAGATCTATCGGTAGGTGTACTTACGTAATCGCTACCGTACTCTTTCTTTGTTACTCCACTCGAACTCTTTCCGTTTTTCACCTCTTTCAATCTCATCCGCACTCTTTTTCGTTTTCATTTATTTGTGCAAACTTTTTTCTCACTCTCCCATTACGTCTATTACATCAAATACTTGTAGATTACTTACTAATACTTATTTAAAATTCATGATATTGTTAATAATACTTATTTAGTAAGTTTTCCATTATTTTTCATCCATTGAAAATTACAAATTTTTCATACTATATTCTATTTAATTGTATTAACATAGTTATTAGATAACATTAATTTACTCATTTTCTTTTAAATGTTTTTATATTATTTGTAATTTAATGAATATTCGATTTAACTGAAGAAGTAAGTTAAAATTCTCTTAAGTTCAGTATAAATCAATCATACTATACTACTGTATAATACAATGATATTGAACATATATTATTGGAAATCTTCATGAAGTTTATGGTTGATGATTTACATTTAAAAAACAGATGACAATAATAAGATTTAAAAATTAAGATAATCTCTCAGATA